TCGAGTCAGCCCCGACTCATAGCGACCCCTCCTTGGGTTTCCGAGGCAGTATCACTACGGAAGTAGGATTGCCCAACCTTCCTTCTGAGGAGTGGTTGGTGGGTTTGAACCACCAGCCTTCTGGTTAGCAGTCAAGTGCTTATGCTACCAGAGCATATTACCAAAAAAATCAAACCCATTGCTGTCAAGTCAATTCCAACTCATAGTGACTTTTATCTTTTTCCTGTGATGAAGCAGCTGGTGGATTTGAACTGCTGACCTTTTGGTTAGCAACTGAATGCTTTAACTACAATACAACCAAAGCTCCTCATAAAGCATGTTGGAAGGTGATAAGTATTCTCTAGAAAAGTGCAGTGAGAAAGGCAATTGCATAAGTTCAGGGTAGAGATGGGTTACAGTCTCATTTATATAGGGCATTCCGGGGAACTCCTCACTGTGAAGGTGCCATTTGTCGACCATAATCTGAAAGGAGAGAGGGAGTGAATGTGCTTACATCTATGGGAAGAAGAAGACAGAGGGAATGGCAAGTACAGAGTCCTTGAGATAGGAATATGCCTGGAGGGTTGGGAAGCCAGAGTGGCTGGAGTGGGGTCAGCAATGGGGAAAAGGAGAAGAGGAGGTTAGAGAGGTGACAGGACCAGATGGCTAGGGCCTAGTGGCCACTTTGCCTGTTAATTTGAGAACTGGCATCAGTGGAGGGTTCTGAGCAAAGAAGCTGTATGACCTGACTCATGTCTCAAATGTATCCCTGTGGCTGCTGGGTTGAGAAGAGTTTTCAGGGAGCAAGAGACCATTTAGGCCAGGTGAGAGCTGACAGAGCTAGGACTGTGATGCTGGGAATGGATGGGGAGACACGTGCCTGATATGCTTCCTAGACCCCAAGTAGATGTTAAATGCTTTTTCCATCATATGTATGTCTTCTTTTAATTTGTTGTTGTTGTTGTTATGTGCCATCCAGAGCTCCTTTCTTTTAATTACAGAAGTACAAAACTGTGGCTATGGAAAATTTGCTGGATAGAGCAAATCTCAAGAAAATACAAATCTTTCATGAAGGGACCACTCAGTGTTAGAGTTATTGATAAAATTATGTTTTAATCATTTTCCTTTAATGCTAAATTTGAAAGTACCGTGTTGAAGTCACTTAAACTGGTGGGAGCTGGCTTTTCAGTCATGTGCACAGTTGGGCACTGACTCTGCTTTTTATGGTTCAGTGAAGCACGTGTGCTGGAAGGGAAATTAAAAGGTGAGAAGATAAAGTCCTTGTTTGCTTCAGGGGCTGGCAGAGAAGAATGGTGGTGGGTGAGTGGGAAGAGCTGTTCCTACAAGGCCAAATACATGTTTTTAAAGAGAGAGGGGACCTGTAAGTTCTGTGAGGTCAGGAACTGTTTAATAGTCTTAGCCTTTACTGTCTTCCTAACATGATTTGGGAGTTCTGGTGGAGTAGTGCCTAAGGCATTTGAGTGCTAGCCAGAAGGCTGGTGGTTAAAATCAACCAACCACTCCTTGGAAGGAAGATTAGGCAAGCTATTTCTGTAGTGATACCACTTCAGAAACCCAAGGAGGGTTTGCTATGAGTTGAATCAACTTGACGACAGTGAGTTAGGTTTTGGTTTTTTAATGTGATTTAGTGCCTAGCATGTCGTAGGTCCTAATAAAAATATTTTTTGAGCAGATATGTGAATTAATAAGTGGATGAATGGATTGGATGGGCCATATCTTTCTGGAAGGATCAAGAAGAGCTTCTTGAATTAAAAGGAAGCCATTTTAGTTTTTTAAAGCTGTATCTCTGATGCCGTTGCATTCATTCATTCATTCATGCATGTGTTAAAGAGTCATTTATTGAGTGCTTACTGTGCACCAAAGGAGCTCTGTAGTGTAGTGGGTAAGGCATTTAGTTGCTAATCAGTAGGTTGGTGGTTCAAAGCCACCAGCTGCTCTGCAGGAGGAAGATGGGGCTGTCTACTTTGGTAAGATTTACAGCTTTGGTAAACCCAGTGGGGATGCTATGAGTTGGAATCAACTCAATGGCAGTGTTTTTTTTTTAAAACCTTTTTATTGTGATTTTGGTGAAAGGTTATAGAGCACATTGGTTTGGGTTTGATTTTTTTTTTTTTGGTTACTGTGCACCAGATGACTAAGAGAGAAAAGGTCCCTATCTTCATGGAGGTTACATTCTAGTGGGAGGGAGACAACCTATAAAATAAGAAATTGAACATGACCCTTTCAGATGGTGGTAAGTCTGTTGAAGATCATAAAATAGGTTAGCATGGTAGACTGGCTGGTTGGGACAGTGGCAGGGTCTCCTTGAGATGGCATAGTCAGGGAAAGGTTTTTGGAGGTGGTGACAATTTGAGCTGAGACTTGAATGATGGCAGAGAGCTAGCCTTCCAGATGTGAGAGCAGAGTGATCCAAGTAAGCACAGCCATGTGAAAGCCCACATGACGGATGCCTGTGGTATACATGTTAAACCAAAAGAGTGACTTAGGGAAAGCAAAGACGATACTCACAAGCACAAGGCACCAGCACATAGCAACTAATAGTTTAGAACCATGTGCCAGTGCAGAAAGGAAGGTGCTGAGTGTAAGTGACTGAGGGTTGAGTAAGGTGGTCTAGGTGGAGGCAGTGAGGACTTGAATTCAGGTGGTGATGGAGAAAGGATGGACGAGAAGGGCCCGTGAGGCCTTGCAGGAGTGAAATCTATAGGACTGATGTTGCAGGCACAGGAAGGGTGCTTATGGTGATCCTGGGGTTTAAGCTTGGAAGACTGGAGGTGGGGGTATTGAGAGAGGAGCAAACAAGAAGAGAGCAAGGTTAGGGAAGTTTTCACAAGTCCAAGATCACTGACTCAGAAGTAAGTCTATAGATCTTTTTCCTCAGTCAACAAATACCAATATACTGGGACTACAACAAAGAAGATAGACATGCTCTCTGAACTCACAAGCTTCTAGTTGGGTGGGCAGTAGACATTAAATTATCCCACAGATATTCAAACTATTCTTGTGAGAAATGCCATTCAGGAAAGGTAAGCTGTGCAGGTGATGTAGGATGGGGTGCCGTCAGGGGCTCAGGAGGCTTTGGTGGAGCAGGGACATTTCTATGGAGACTTGAAGGATGAGTAGGAGTTGGTCAGCCTTTTGGACAAGGGGTGGTGCTCTGGGCAGGCACATGTGTGAGTGAGTTCAGAGAGAGAGGCTGGCTGGTGGTATTTGGAACTGAGAGAAGGCTAGTGTGGGAGGATATGGTGAGCAATGGCACAGATATCATAGGAGGGATTTTGTGAATCAGGCAAATGAGAACCACCTTCTTTTCTTCATTTTCCAGCCCGTGTTCCACGTCATGGGGTTCTCCGTCACTGGCAGGGTTTTGAATGGACCTGAGGGAGAAGGTGTTCCAGAGGCAGTAGTCACTCTGAATAATCAAATCAAAGGTGGGCAGACACTTGGCTCCTGGGACTGTTGGCCAGTGCCATCTTTTCTTTTTTTTTTTTTAATTAGGATTTGAGTGAAGATTTACAGAGTAAATTCACTTTCCATACAGCAGTTCACATATACTTTGTCTCATGACATTGACCAAAATTTACAATGCAGCAGCTCCCCGCCCACTTCCTCCCCATAGTTACCCAGTGCCATCTTTTAATCATAGAAATGGAAAGGAAATAAAATCTTTAGGATTATGAGAATATGCCACCTTTTTGTCTCCAATTTTCTCGTGTATATATAGGGATATGGATTTGTTTGGGGCTCATCATTTGTTTGTTTTTGTATTCCAGTGAAAACAAAAGCTGATGGCTCATTCCGCCTGGAGAACATAACAACAGGGACATACACCATCCATGCTCAGAAAGAGCACCTCTACTTTGAAACAGTTACTATCAAAATTGCACCTAACACACCTCAGCTGGCTGACATCATTGCAACAGGGTAAGGCTGTTAGGTTAGATTTGGAAATCCAGTGCTTATGTTGACATACAGCAGAGAACAAGGCTACCTTTGAGGATTTGAGTATGTGTTTCTGACAGGGATCAACATACTGTCTTAGATACCTGTGGAAAAATTCAGGCTGCCTCCTTCAGGAAGATTATTGCTAAATCTTACAAAATGAAGGTAGTTATATGTTGGTTGCTTAAAAAAAAATTCTCTGGCTTCAAAGTTAAAATGGTTTTGTTAAGTTAGAAAAAGATCTTTCATGTCTGGCTTTGCATCTATGGGACCTTTCTTGGCTAAACCCTTGAGGACTTTTGAAGATAGTTGATTGAGAATGTTTGTTGTAAGATGATTCAGGTCATTATCATGGTTCTTCTTGCTTTGTAATTATTCACTGTAATGATAATAAGTAGTTGAGTTTGTATAACTATAGCATGTGAAACAAGTTTGTAGTGCAGAGACAGGCCTTGGGGTCAGATCCCAGAGCTCACAACCTCTTGTGGTGGACCTGCTTTGTAAACTGTAGCATAGGTATGCTGCCATCTTTCTTGTAGATAGCAGTAGGTGCTCACTTTCTTAGTTTTATAGTCCTGTCATGAAAAATTACCATAAAATAGGTGGCTTAAAATAACAGAAATTTATTCTCTCATAGTTTAGAAGCCGGAAGTCTGAACTTAAGCTGTCAGCTGGGCCATGATCCCTTGAACTCCCTAGGAAGGATCCTTCCTTACCTCTCCCAGCTTTTGTTAACCTTAGGTATTCCTTGGCTTATGGCAGCATAACTCCAGGCTCTTCTTTCATCTTTATGTGGCCATCTTCCTTCTGTGTTTTTCCCTGTGTGTCTTTTCTTTTTGCCCTTCTGGTCATATTAGATTAGATCTCACTCTACATCAGTATGACTCACACAAACTTAACTGCTTCAATCTGCAGAAGCCCTATTTCCAAATAAGGTCACATTCACAAGGACTGGGGCTTAAGACTTGAACATATCTTTCGTGGGGCACAGTTCAACTCATCACACCCAAAAATACCAACTTGAAAGGACAGGTGCAGGGTCTGCTTGACGGGGACAACACGACCAAAGGCATGCAGTTGCAGAGCAGCACAGTGTGGATGAGAACCTAAAGTCTACTGTTGGTGGAGTGGAAAGTGCTGGCCAGGAAAAGGAGGTTGATGAGGCTGGAAGGAGCAGATCTGAGAGGACTTCTTCACACCCCATTTTAAGACAGGCTTTCTCCTGCCTAAAGGTCCAGGGGCCAGCAAACAATGTGGAGCATTGAGGTAACATGGTTAGGTTTGTGCTCTGAGTAGGGCATTCCCCTGGGCCCCTTGGCAGGTAGGTGGGCACGCAGCAGCTCGGGCCTTGTGGGGCAGCTTTATTTAAGACCAGGCCCCTGGTCAGTTAAGGACAGGTGGGGAAGTGAGTAGAGCAGTTGGAGCAAATAAGGGAGATGAACTTGTCTGTCGGTTTGTTGTCCTGTGGTGGCTTACATGTTGCTGTGAGGCTGTAGGCTATGCCACCAGTGCTGTAAAATGCCAGCAGGGTTATGCATGTTGAACAGGTTTCAGTGGAGCTTCCAGACCAAGACAGAGTAGGAAGAAGGAAGAGGCTATCCACTTCTCTAAGAATTGGCCAGTGAAAACCTTATGAATTGCCGGGAAACATGGTCTGATATATCACTGGAAAACTTTTGAATAGACCTGAAATATTGTCTGATAGAGTGCCGGAAGATGAGCCCCTCAGGTCAGAAGGTACTCAAAATATGACTGGGGAAGAGCTGCCTCCTTAGAGTAGAGATGACCTTAATGATATGGATGGAGTAAAGCTTTCGGGACCTCCATTCGCTGATGTGGCATGACTCAAAATGAGTAGAAACAGCTGCAAACATCCATTGATAATCGGAACATGGAACGTATGAAGTATGAATCTAGGAAAACTGGAAGTTGTCAAAAATGAAATGGAACACATAAAGATCAATATCCTAGACATTAGTGAGCTGAAATGGACTGCTTTGGGCCATTTTGAATGAAACAACCATATGATCTCCTATGCTGGGAATGACAAATTGAATAGGAATGGTGTGGCATTCATCATCACAAAGACTGTTTCAAGATCTGTCCTTAAGTACAGAGCTGTCAGTGACAGGATAATATCCATATGGCTATAAAGAAGACCAGATAATACTAATACTGTTCAAATCTATGCACCAACCACCAAATCCAAAGATGAGGAAATTGAAGATTTTTACCAACTTCTGCAGTCTGAAATTGACCAGACATGCAATCAGGATGTATTGGTTATCACTGGTGACTGGAATGCAAAAGTTGGAAACAAAGAAGAGTCATGGGTAGTTGGAAAATACAGCCTTGGTGATAGAAATAATGCTGGAGATCACACGATAGAATTTTGCAAGACTAACAACTTATTCATTGCAAATACCTTTTTCAGCATCATAAACGATGGCTATCCATGTGGACTTTGCCTGATGGAATACACAGGAATCAGATTGACTACATCTGTGGCAAGAGGCGATGGAGAAGTTCAGTGTCTTCAGCCAAAACAAGGCCAGGAGCTGATTGTGGAACAGACCATCAAGTGCTCATGTGCAAGTTGAAGTTGAAGTTGAAGACAATTAAAACAAGTCCACGAGAGCCAAAATATGACCTTGAATAATATATCCCTCCTCAATTTAGAGACCATCTAAAGACTAGATTTGATGCACTGAACACCAGTGATTGAAAACCAAAGGAATTGTAGGATGACATCAGAACATCATCGATGAAGAAAGCAAAAGATCATTGAAAGAAAAGGAAGAAAAGATTAAAATGGATGTCAGAAGAGACTCTGAAACTTGACCTGGGACAGAGAGTAGCTAAAGTAAATGAAAGAAATGAAAGGATAAAAGAGCCGAACAGAAGATTTCAAAGAGCAGCTCAAGAAGACAAAGCCAACTATTACAATGAAATGTGCAGAGACGTGGAATTAGAAAACCGAAAGGGAAGAACACGCTCAGCATTTCTCAAGCTGACATAACTGAAGAAAAATTTTAGCCTCAAGTTACAGTGTTGAAAGACTCTATGGCCAAAATATTGAATGATGCAGGAAATATCAAAAGAAGATGGAAGGAATACATAGTCACTGTACCAAAAAGAATTGGTCAGTGTTCATCCATTTCAAGAGGTGGCATATGATCAAGGACAATGGTATTGAAGGAAGAAGTTGAGACTGCACTGAAAGAATTGGCAAAGAACAAGGCTCCAGGAATTGATGGAATACCCATTGAGATGTTTCAACAAACGGATGCCTCACTGGACCCACTCACTTGGCTGTGCCAGGAGATTTGGAAGACCTGGCCAACTGACTGGAAAAGATCCATATTTGTACCCATTCCAAATAAAGATGATTCCACAGAATGTGGAAATTACTGAACAATATCATTAACATCACACACAAGTAAAATCTTACTGAAGATAATTCAAAAACGGTTGTAGTGGTGTATTGACAGAGAACTGCCAGAAATGCAAGCTGGATTCAGAAGAGGACGTGGGACGAGAGATATCATTGCTATGTCGGATGGGTCTTGACTGAAAGCAAAGAATACCAGAAAGATGTTTACTTGTGTTTTATTGATTGTATGGATCATAACAACTTATGGATAACATTGAGAAGTATGGGAACTCCAGAACAATTGATTTTGCTCATGAGGAACCTGTACATAGTTCAGGAGGCTGTCATTAGAACAGAACAAAGGGATACTGCATGGCTTAAAATCAGGAAGAGGGTACGTCAGGGTTGTATCCTTTCAGCATACTTACTCCATCTGTATGGTGAGCAAATAATCCAAGAGCTGGATTATATGAAGAACGTGGCATCAGGATTAGAGAAAGACTCGTTAACAACCTGTAATAGATGACACAACTTTGCTTGCTGAAAGTGAGGATGACTTGAGTCACTTACTGATGAAGATTAAAGACTATAGTCTGCAATATGGATTGCTCCTCAATAGAAAGGAAACAAAAATCCTCACAACTGGGCCAATAAGCAGCATCACGATAAACGGAGAGAAGATTGAAGTTGGCAAGGACTTCATTTTCTTGATTCTACAATCAGCACCAGTGGAAGCAGCAGTCAAGACATCAGATATGACATATTGCATTGGGCAAATCTGCTGCAAAAGACTTCTTTGAAGTGATGAAGAGCAAAGATGTCTCCTTAAGGACTAAGGTGCACCTAACCCAGGCCATGGTATTTCCAATCGTGTTATGCATGTGAGAGCTGGACATTGAATAAGGAAGACTGAAGAAATGTTGATGCTTTTGAGTTGTGGTGTTGGAGAAGAATGCTAAGAGTACCATGGACTGCTAGAAGGACTAACAAATCTGTCCTGGAAGAAGTACAGCTGGAATACTCTGTGGAAGGGAGAATAGCCAGACTTTGTCTCACCTACTTGGGTCCTGTCAGGAGGAACTGTTCCCTGGAGAAGGATGTCATGCTTGTTAAAGTTGCGGGTCAGGAAAGAAAGGGAAGGCCCTCAACCAGATGGACTGACACAGTGGCTGCAACGATGGGCTCAGGTATGGCAAGGATTGTGAGGCTGGTACAGGACTGAGGAGTGTTTCGTTCTGTGCATTGGGTTGCTGGAGTTGGAGATCAATGGCACCTAACAACAGCGACAAGAGGACATTACAGTGGCATGGTGGGTGATGGCTTTGAAAGGGCCAAGACTAGACCTTAGGAGGCCTGAAAACAGGTGTTTGCCTCATAGCAAAGGTAAGGACAGAATGGAGACATATTTAGAAGTTAAAATCAGCAGCAGTTGGTGTAGGATTTGGTTTAGGGAGGCATGAGGGAGGGAGAAGTCAAGTTGGTTAATGGATTTCCAGCTTGAGAGGCGAGATGGATTTTTTTTTTTTTTTTGGTGCC